CTGTTCCTCATTGTCTTGCCCAGGTGTGCGTCGCTGTCAATCATTAGTGTTGCTTTAAATCAACCTCTGTCACTTCCTTGTTCGTGTCTTATGCTTTCAAGCAGTCGTGTTTTAAGCTTTGAGTTTTGAGATTTTTTCCTGTATTTTTTTTTTTTTTACCACCTGGTCAGGTTTTTGTTTTCTTGTTTAATAAATTACTGGTAGTTCATTTATTGTTACCTTGAGTTGTGTCTGCAACTTGAGTTCCCCAAAAAAATCACCCAACATGAAAATTACATTTATACCGGCTCTTCAGGAAGAGTCTGAATACGTGTAAATTTTAAAATGGACACATCTGATTTCCATATTCGAGCATTAATCATTTACATTTCTTATTAAATTTAAAGTTTTGGAATTTCAGCTGTGCAGGAAGAGTAAAACTTTTAACGGACGTTTCTTCACAGCCGTCTGGAATCACATGAGCTTGAGTCTGAACGAGCGACTCCGTGTTTTTCTGTATGAAAGTAAATAAATAAGATCTGACTAAGCCAGACTTATTAGAATCTATGCACCAATTTTAGCATGTCACAAACCTGAACTGCATGCGGCTAAAATAATGGACAGGATGATGATGCAGCATTCACTTACGTGTTTTATTTCTTCGCTCTGACTACTTCTGCATACTTTGTGCTGTTTTTAACCATTTTTATATATGAAAACATACAGAACGTTCAGGAAACGGGGTTTGACTGACTCTTTTTCTAACATGTACTTTTTAAAATATTGTTATATTTTATGGGCATGTTTCAGAGCCGAGCGTCGCGGAGAATCAGCTGGTAGAGCTGTTGCCTCTCAGTGAGAAGGTCTTTGGATCAAATCCTGGCCGGGGACCTTTCTGGGTGGAGTTTGCATGTTCTCTCTGTGCATGCGTGAGTTACTCCAGTTTCCTCCCACAGACCAAAAACATGCATGTTAGACTGACTGGTAACTCTAAATTGTCCCTAGGTGAGAGAGAGTGAATGGTTGTTTGTCTCTATGTGTCCCTGTGATGGACTGGAGACCTGTCCATGTGTCTCTCGCACAGTGACTGCTGGATATGGGCACCAGAAGAAGAAGTGGGTAAAGATAATAGATGCATGGATGGATGGATGGATGGTTCAGAGCTGTTGTGATGGTACCAAAACCTGACCATGATGTTCTGGTTCATGGTCATGAAGTAGCTGTGAACAGTGGAGCATAGGTTGCCATAGTTACCACATCACTTTTTTATGTATGTGATGATGGAATTAACCAAAAAAGAAAGCAGAAAAGTGCAGAAAACTGAGTACTTGGTTTCAAATCTGAAGCATCCGGAGACTTTTTCCTGGACGACACAATCAGTTTACAGTATTGGGCGGCTGTGGCTGAGCGGTTAGTGGTCACCCTCCAATGGGAGAGTTGGTAGTTGGATTCCATCAACAGCCACATGTTGAAGTGTCCCTGGGCAAGACACTGAACCCCAGCACAGGAACCCTGTTGTCTGCACGTTTGGTGTCTTGAACATGACGAGAAAACAAATTGGATGTAATTGTAAGTCTGGGCCTTCAAACTGAGTCTCACCGGTCATCATGTTGTCGGACAAAAGCCCTTCTCGAAGTGCTTTAAGGCTGTTGGAGGAAAAGCATTGATTTATTTAAGCTTTGATCTTCTTTTGGTTTTAGCCAGCGGAGATAAATAGCTTAAGGTCTGACTGAATCTTGAACCCACAATAGTTTCTGGGATGGCACTTTCAATCCATGACCTTCAGCATGTTAGCAGCTGGGATGAGTCGGCTCCTCTCGCTTTGAGTTCATGGTTCTCAACCTGGAAAAGGCAGAATTCTCCCTCTGGGTTGTGAGAGAGTCTTTGTCTCCAGTGGAGGAGCTCAAGTGTCGAGTCTTGCATAGTTCTGACATATTGTGGCCTCATCTGCAGTAATGAGGATGTTGCTCTTGTCTGTGGTGGTAAAGATGGAACTGAACTGAAAGGCAAAGCTCTCAAGTCACTGGTCCTTCTGAACAAGGCCTCCTACTCATTCTCACTCATCTGAAGACGAGGGGGCTGTGTGTCTAGACAAATGAGTATTTATAGACCTTGATGTTTTCTACTACAACTCAGGGTTGAAATATGACCTTTTTCTGTTGGATGGTCAAACATTGTTACAGATAAGGTGTGGAGCTACAGCATCCAAGAGGAGTGGAGTCTGCTGATTTAGTTCTGGGTGCTTCCCTTTAAAGACATTTTCTGGTTAAATTCTGCTAGAAAAGTAAAAACACAAATTCCTGGAGGGATTTATTGGATAAAAATATCTTTTATTTATCTTAATTACTCAAAGAAGCCACACTTGAGGACATGAGAAGATATTTAACTGTTTTTTACTTGCAAGGACAGACTTTCACTCTCAGGCTTACACAGATGCACAGAAGTTCTACATTGCATGGAGCCCAGTCGCAAGAGTCTGCACCGGACAGTGTGCGAGAACTGTTTTTATATAATACACGCTTACCAGTTATCACAGCTCACAGACAGTCCACGATGACCTCGGCCTCCCAGCTGCACATGCAGGATCAAATCCGCTCCTCTCTGAGAGAGAAAAGAACTCTCTGGACTCACACACATGCTTCAACAGTAATTTGACATTAGTTAGTGATAAGCATCCTCGGCCTTGACCAAAAATCCCCTGACAATTTTAGGTCCTGGTAGCAACTTGGATCCACCACCACCAGGAGGAGCTGGAATGTGTCGTGGAGTGGAACAACTGGGTTTCCCTCCCTGTTGCCTCCATGAGAAATGAGAAAAATGGATGAACGTGAGGGTATTTAATCAAACTTACATTGCAGTTGACCAACTTTATACAGAAAGTGTTAGTGTAGTACATATAACATTTTTTTTAAATGTATAAAGCCCTTAAAAACAAGTTGGACCAAAGTACTATACAATAAAATCATACATGATAATAAACACAGGCCAGTCATGCAATATATAAAATCAAACTCATGCAAAACATGTTACAGTTTTTGATTTACAGATTCAGGTTTTCAGAAGTTGCATGTTTTTAGACAGCCCAGTGTAGTTGTGCACCCAGAGTACTTTCAGACATTAGTACTTCACATTACAAGTCACCTTCCTTTTTTCATCCAAGTGTTTCTGTTTTTTTTAGTTTGCATGTAAATTAAGCATAAAAAAAATAAAGACAGAAACTAACAAACATAAGCAGAACAGTTGTTTTCTTCGTGTTTGATGCATTTTGTTTATTTTCCGTCAACGTTTTGATTCTGCAGCAGCTGGAAGCACCGGCAGATGTTCGCACATTAAACTAATGAACATAAACAAGTATTAATGGTCTTGTTCCTAAAATTTGCACCCGGTTAGCGTGCATCATTTGTTCCCCTCTTGTTTCAGTGAAACGCCAACAACGCTCATTTCAAAGCCTCTCAGATGTTTTGGAGCCCCACAAGCACTAAAATCATGCATGCTTAGCTAAAGTTGGCTAAATTTACTGAATGGAGCACAGCTGGGAGTTGATTCAAGCCCTGAATGACAGACTGATTCAGACAACAGGTGATTTTGAGTGTGTGTGTTCTTTTGGGAAACATTCAGATTAGATTTTGCTTTGGGAAAATGTAATTTAATGTTGGAAAATGGACTTTGGATGAAAGTGCTTTGACAGAACGACCAGTCTCAGGTTAAAAATGATGAACTGCAGTTTGACCCTCAGTCCCCTGGCATAGTTTCATCTTATCAGCGTGTCAAGGTCTGTTTGAAGCAACATTATTCAGGATTTAGCTCCAAGTGAGCTCATGGTCCTTTGGATTACTTTTTTCTGAGATGACAGTACACAAGGTATTGTCAGTTTGTACATTAGCATAAAAAACACCATCCAAATAAAATCTGTGAGGTGATAAACAATATAATTTGTCTTCATTACACTGATAAAACATTTTATTTATCTATATTTGTTACACTTTGTTATGTATAGTGAAGTTTTACACAACCACAGGCTGCAACTGTAATGACATAAGAACCTTAATGGACTAAAATGATGAATTTTCAACATTTTCTGTACTGAGGTGATTTTAATGTTGCAGTATGTGTGTAAATACAAGCAACACATTATAATATGTAAAATGTAGCTTGTTTGCATTGTGAATAACAACAAATGTTTCAAATTAGACTTAAATGTTTAATAATCACTATGAGTCCTCATTTCTCAGCTCAGACAAAAGAACAGGGTTGTTTAAATTAGAGACATCAAGACAAAGACTGATGAAAATCACAATAACGAGCTGCGGAGGGTAGCGCTAGCCTTGATTAATCTGCTGTCTGTGCAGGCCGCAATGCATTATGGTCTTTCTACCGATGTAATGTACAACTTCTGTATGCACGACTTTTACTGTGCCATGTGATTGGTTTCCAGGGAATTATAATGTGAATGAAAAGTTATGGAACATTAAAATTTCACACAGCACTACAAAAAGTCCACTATACAGGGCACAATGTAGTGAAAGAAAACGGTAACTCTGAGTGAATGTGCAAAACACCAAGACGTTAAGAGATCAAATAATAAAGTGATTCTGTACAGTGGTTGCAGAAAGATTAATTTAAAATGACTTGTTTCCATCTGTATCAAAGCGATTTGTTTTGTTCTCCCTTCGCAGTTCTGCAGTAGAAATGGCACCATGATGTACATCTGCAGTTTATTTTTTTCTGTGTGGCTTTTGATTTCACACACCAATTGAATGCAAATTACAAGTTCTATTCATTTTTGAATTGCTCGGGTCCTTTTATGCGATGTCACTGGGTTCAGCGTGTCGCGACAGGATGACTTCTTCATCTTTTTAATCACATGCTTGACAGGCTCATTATTATCTCCATTTTACTTTGAAGCATTTGTTTAAACATCACAAAAATGATTTCTGTGATCATCTGAACACGTTACGTACGTGCTGCCTATGGGATTGTTGGTTTCTGATGTCTTTCCCTGTTTTCTCTCTCGTGTTCAGGAGTGGTGGTCATAGCCTTTGTGGTGTGCTGGCTGCCTTATCACGCTCGCCGCCTCATGTTCTGCTACGTCTCCGACTGGTCCGAGTGAGTAACGATTTTTCTTTCTCAGTCTATCATGCGTGAGGCCACCAGTCTACAGTAACTCATAACGATGCAAGTTATTTTGAGAGTCATCTGTTAGGAGCACCTGAAAAATGTGCAGAGGAGCTACTGTACATCTTGCTCATTAGATTGCCTTCATTTAACATTGCTATAATTTCCCTCCTTCACGTGCTTCTTCCATCTTTTTATTTTTTTTTATTATTAGTCCTCCATCTCTATCTTCTACAGCTTCTTTGTAGTCAGGTCATCGAGGCAGCAGGTTTAAGTGAGAAACCCAGACATCATTCACACAAGCGACACTCTCCAGTTCCTCCTGGGGGACCCAAAGGCTTTTCCAGGCCGGTGAGGATACACTAATCCCCCAGCAAGTTCTGGGTCTGCCCCTTGGCTTCTTCTGAGTGGAAGGTGCTCTGAAAACCTCCAAAGGTAGGCATCCTAATCAGGTGCCTGAACCACTTCGACTGGCTCCTTTCGATACAGAGGAGCAGCAGCTGTACTCCAAGCTCCTCTCAGATGAGGGAGTTCCTCACCCTGTCTCTAAGGCAGAGCCCAGCCACTCTACAAAGGAAGCTTATTTCAGTCACTTGTATCCAGGATCTCGTTCTTTCAGTTATAATTTATGCATAAATCATGACCATAGGTCAGTGTTGGAATATAGACGGACCAGTAAATTGCGAGCTTTGCTTTTCAACTCAACTCTTTCTATACCATGACATACTGAAGCAGTGTCCTCATGCAGATAAAGTCCCAACATTTTTGTGCAACCGTTTCCTTCTACTTCATACACAAGACTGAAGTTTACTGTCACAAACTGCATTGTGTCAGATTAAAAACTGTCTTTAAAAAAAGCGCATCATGACAGAGTGTGGCTCGTCACCAGGCCCGCAGTGGACTTATTAAGAAGCAAAAAACTGTTCTCTGATTTAGATTTTTGCTGATGGCACTCTAGAAACAGCAGGGAAGTACTTCATTGCTGTCACAACCTAAATATGAGCCGAACCCCTGTCCCTCTGCTGTACTAAAGGGAAGAACGACTTCAATTTTACATGTTAAATGGTGCAATTTTAGAAATGGCTTTGATTAAAAATAACATTTCATGATCATGTTCTGTACATTAACATAAGTAGTTTTTTTTTAATAACTTTTACCCACCTGTTGAGGTCCTTTCCAATCAGTTTTGACAAAATCTTGTGAGCTGTAAGACGGGCAGCAGGGCACATATTCATTCAACCTTTATACAGGTTAGTCTCACTGAGACACGAGGACTCATTTTTAAGAGAGATATGTTTTTGATAAAAGGTACATACAACAATAAAGAGCCAAAAAATCCATATAAAATGAAAAGTAAATAAAAGTAGTGATATAAAACAAAATAAAAACGAGCTTCATTATGAAACGAGGTAAAATACTAAAAACAGGAACATGTCTGCGTTAATTTTTGCATTAAATTTAACAATTGTTTAAAATCCCTCAAAGAGGTCAAAGCCGAGAGCTTCAGTTCTTGTTGTAAGGTGCTACAGGAGTGGAGTAAGACAAGGCCTTTTTGCAGAGTTCAGTCTGCGCTGAGGGGATGCTGCAGTTAATAATGTCTTGAGAGCGCACGCTGTAACTGCACTGACGATTTGACTGGAGATATATGAAGGTAGCAGACCAAGGAGTGATTTCAAGATACAAATGTACCAGTGAGAGTCTGTGTGAAGTTAATGATGACCAGTTAACCAAAGAGAACAGAGTACAGTGAAGGGAACAATATCCAGTTATGAACTATGATAGACAGCATCCAACATCTGCAAGATGCTTGCAGGAGCATTCATAAAAACTATGTCACCATAGTCAATGGCCAGAAGGAAATTAGCAGCTACAAGCCATTTTCTAACATTCAGAGTTAAGCAAGATCTTTTTCAGAAAACAGTTTTGATTTCAGTTTCTTTATCAAGTTTGACATGAGGCTTAAGAGAGCTGTGCATTGACCAAGATTCCCAAGTATTTGTAAGAATCGACAAACTCAATAGGAACACCATTTGTGGATAAGATAGGAGGAAGGACTGTTGGTACCAACTTTCTGTTTGAAAACAATATCCCTTTGGTTTTATCAGCATTTAGCACCAGTTTGAGATGGAAAAAATCTGACTGGATGTTGTCAAATACAGACTGTAGGAGTTGTAAAAGCTTACAAACTGTTTTAGCTCGACAATAAACGACTGTATCGTCGGCATAGTGATGTAAGGATGTGCCAGGAATGTTCTGGCCTACATTACTTATGCAGATTGTAAAGAAAGTTTGTCCTAAGACTGAGCCTTGTGGTACACCATTATTGACAGTTAAATAACTGGAAGATGCACCATTGTATTGAACATGGTACGTAACATATATAAATATATATGTTGGTGGCCATCTTAGATTAAGATGTGGCAACCCCATTTTCAATAGGAACCTTTCTTAGACTTAGTTGCAGCCACATAAAATATGTAGAAGTCAATACCTTGCGTATTCTTCCGATTATAGAACTAAAAGCATTTACGGACAAACGGACATCTGAAGGATATTTCCAATTCCCCTTATCGCTCCACAACAGAAGACAACCTAAACTCTCCTTCTAGGTTAGATTTTATTTCTGTTCATCCTCTTCTTTTCCTTTCACTAATGCCTCTCAGTACTCGTCTGATCTTATGTAAAAATGTCTTAATGTACTTCACTCCTCGTGCTGTGAAGCCTAATCTCCTGCTTCCTTCTCACCATCTTCAATCAGAGGGACACAATCAGTCAGTTAAAGATTGAAGACTTTCACTGAGTCTTGCAGAGTTTACAGCAGCAACATTTATGAAATATGATGTTGCTAGC